TTCCTTCTTTCTCTCCCACTTGTTAGGGGAATTCTGAGAGTCTGCAAAATCATAAATAAATGTAAAAAAAGATTTGAAGTTAACAGTGTAATGTATTTTATCTAACATCCTACTAATGAGGTATACATTTAAAGACGTTTAAAAGTATAAGCGGTGTCACGTTGCAAAATAGACATTTTTTTGGCGTACTTACTCAAGCAATCACCATTCTGGAGGCTTTGATTGACCGCATTCATTCAAGTCATTACACAACAACGACCAACCAAAAAATTATTGCCGATCTCCAATGCAACGTCAAAGCGGTATTAAAACGCATTTCATCATAAGAAAATTTTATGTACCTTAAAACATTTACCTTGAAGTCGCATTGTAAATTGTTAAAATCATGGTAGTTTTTCCTGTAGTGCAAAAAAGAACCATATTTGTTAGATACCCCTTGATTCAAGTAGTTTTGAAGGCGATGGACTATTAGAAAACTTATGAGGTGGGGCGAGGGGACGAGCGAAGTACAAAAAATATCCGTCCAGGGAATGATTAAATGTAAAAGAGTAATGAATGAAAAGTAACCCTAAAAAATATTCATGCATTGGCCTAAAAAAATTCATACCCATGAGATGTTAAAGTAACAAAAAGAAAGATTCTGGAAAATCCGTCCATAAAGTTTCTAATGGCTTGGGAACTGTTCCGCCATGGTCTTACTGTTGACAGTAAGACCCAGCTCCACCATGTTCTTCTCCGTCCTTGCCAAGAGAACCTTTTCCTCATAAACCCAGCACGCTTTCTTCCTCTGCTCAGGAACATGATCTTTATTGTAGGCCTCTTTGTGTGCGCGACGTCAATGCTGTGAGACCCCCGCATTGCCGTGGAACTCACAACCGCAGTCCAGGCATGGTAGGAGACTAGCACCATCGGTCACCCTTCGAGCAGATCGAGCGTCACTGGAAGAGCCCGCTGTGGTAGGCTCCCCATTGTCATCAGAGTTTTCATCGAAAGCAACGCAAAGAGCTACTACAGGCTGCTAACCCGCAGCAGCTTGGGGCACCTTTAGCTTCACCGGCCGGTACGACCACTCCCAGCAGATGGTATAAGCACACGACCTGACATAGGACAAGCCCACCGCACAAGAAGAAAGCACCATTGTCTCACTCACAGAAGCTGGGCAAGATCACAGCCCGATAATATATAAGCCATATGACTGATGTTAAAGTCTGGCTAGGCAGATGTAAGTAGCCTTGAGGGCCTATGGCCGCCGGCTGGCGGCGGCAATGTGGTTGCCCGTCACGCCATAAAATCCATGGGCAGTTTAAGGCCCGCACGTATGTAGGGCCTTCCGCCCTACCGTGCCTCATTTTCCAGATGTAATAGCAGACTTCTGCTCAAAAGAGCGTATGAAGGGACATAGCCCTGATGTTGTATATGTGAGTGATAGGCACAATTATCAAGCAAGGCAGAGAAGGCCCTGCCAGGCGTGGCTGTGTAGACTAGGGGCTGCACGCACCAGCCAGCTAATGACGACTCTCGCCGCGAGAAGGCAGCACCCCATGGAGAGTCAAATATCACATTTTCAATCCTTTGAACATTACTACACAATAATGAGGCTCAATGATCAATGGTTTTCTTGTCATTACTGATACGTGGAGTTGAGGGTTGCAGGGCGTAACAAACCCCTGGCCAGTACTTTTCAACTGGACTGGAAGTTGGAGTAGAATATGATGATTGAACTGACTCCTCCTCAACTCCATGTTCATCGTTCGTTTCCTCGCTGTCGTTGTCTTCCTTTTCTAGTTGTGAGTCTAACCACCTCCAGTACTCTGTTGGATCTTGGGCAGGTTCAGGCAAGGGATATTGTCCGCCTGAACTGTCTGCTTCTTGTGGGTCATAATCAGCTGCAACTGGCTTGGCAAGTTGACGTGGTTAACCAATCTGGTAGTTTTACCCAGGGGTAACTGTGCAAATGTTTCAGAACATTTGCTTATTCTCATCTCGCTGTTTTACTCTTCGTCACTGCTCATGGGACTGTCCTCTGGTTTGATCTAAAATTTCAAAGGAGAGGAACTTGAGTTTTTAATAGAGATTTAAATTTACGTAATATGAAGAATATCTACCTATATTCCAGTTTATGTATCGAGTGTTGTTTGTTTATCACTTACCTCTCCTAGTATTTCAGCATGTCGTAGTTCAATGGTAGGTTTTGCATATTTACCATTTGCTGTTCCATCTCCCTAATGAACTCCCAATCACTTTCATGGAACGGCTTCTCTTCAAGTCTCCTTATTTCTTCCAGCTGTTCGTTTTTTCATTTCTCAAAATCGAACTCTTCTACGTAATTGCCATGCGTTGCTCCTTTTGCTTCCTCTCCCTCTTTCTCCTTCTGGTCCAGATAGCCATTTTTCTCCACACATTCTCTAAATTTTTCAGCTATCAAATTTGGAGAATGAAGGTGAAATGCTGGCATATCGTCATCCTCCGAACTTGCATGTAAAACGACTTTGCTACGTTCGTCTAGATGACCAATCAAGATGATATACTAAAACTATCTAAAGGGAAAAATATCATGTTAAAATAATAATCTTTCTAGAAAGGACATTAGACTTGACAAGTTTTAAGGTCATCGAAAGTGAGCAACAGGGGGTCAAAATAGTTGTGTCCAGTACCCATTTACTTTGGGTAAGGGAATTGCAATTAACCCTTGTAGAATCAGACACTATGTAGAATCTATGCAAATGCTATGTTACAGAGTATGTAAAACCTATGCAAATGTCTCATACAATCCTTTTACCAAATCCTATGTTGTTTCTATGCCAGGACTATTTTTTTGTATAAGAAATGCTGTTTTCCCTAGTCAAACAGAACCTACTTAAAAGCTATGCAGTTTTTAAAGTTAGAAATAAAGGGGGAAATGACATAGTTACCACATAGCCTATACATACAATTTACTTAGCTTTTGGAAAGAGATTTTGGACCTCACAGTCAACTTTATAGACATTTGAATAGACCAATCATAGAAAATAAATAGCCTTCACATAGCACTGAAAAAGAGTTTACATAGTAAAATGGAACAGGGAACAGTTGACTAAATAGCTTTTGAATAGGGTTTGCTTAGCTTTTAGATAGCCTAGGAATGGAGCAAACATGATAAACATAGTCTTTACGTAAAGTTCACATATATTTTGCATAGCATTAAAATGGGAAAAACACAGAGGCAATAGTCTTTGCATAGCACTGAAATAGAGTTTACATAGTAAAATGAAGAGGGAACAGTCGACTAAACAGCTTTTGAATAGGCTTTGCTTAGATTTTAGATAGCCTAGGAATGGAGTAAACATGATAAACATAGTCTTTCCATAACGTTCACAAATATTTTGCATAGCATTAAAATGGAGAAAACACAGAGGAAATAGTCTTTGCATAGCGCTGAAAGAGAGTTTACATAGTAAAATGAAATAGGGAACAGCAGACTAAATAGCTTTTGAATAGGGTTTGCTTAGATTTTAGATAGCCTAGGAATGGAGTAAACATGATAAACATAGTCTTAACATAACGTTCACAAATATTTCCCATAGCATTAAAATGGGGAAAACACAGAGTAAATAGTCTTTGCATAGGTTTGAGATAGAGTTTACAAAGGAAATTTGGTAACAATGAAATAGATCATAAAAATAGCCTAGCCTGGGAAATTTAACATCAACTTTACCAAGGAGAAACAAATGAAAGCTTTATAAATAAAAATATTGCACTAAAGCTGATCCACAGTTAGCAGTTTTTGTTTTTTTTCTTTTTCAGCTTCCTTTAAGACCTAAAAAAAAGAGTTATTAGTCATAGTACAAATTGAATCAAGTACGGGTAATCCATGCAGCCTTAAAAACTTAAAGTTATTTTGCAGAATAATACTTATTGTAATTGTGGACAATAGTCAAAGACTATACAAAGACTGCTTTTACAGCCTGTAAGCAAGCTCTCCAGGGTGCTCTGGCAGCGGGGCGAGAAAATGAAGGAGAGCCTGCAACTATGTCTGTGGAATTTGAAATCCACTTACAATTCCCCTGTGACTCCCTGCCAACTGAGCTGTCAGATTTCTACCAATCAGGACAAACCGAAAAAGAATGCAAATGTAAAAAAAGATTAGAAGACATGTGCCGAGGGTAATGTCATCATTACTGTCATCTCCACCTATCAGTATTTCGCATCAACTTTTTCGATGCAGATATTCAAATTCCGGCGACATACTTGCACGCTCTCCTTCCTTTTCCTTCCCTGCTACCAGAGTGCCCTGGAGAGCTTGCTGGCAGGCTATTACACTTTTAAAACAAAACATTGGCCTAATATTATTGACACTGACAGTAATACCTTTTTACGGCAAATGTTGATCACACTGTTGCATTTGAGTCTTAAAGCTTGTTTTATGTCACTTCTTGTGGCTGGACTGTGCGGCTTTTCAACCTCTCCCTCTTAATTTTTTTTGGTTTTGTCTCTTTTGTGATCTTGGCAATCATTGAAAAATCTGAAAGTGAATGTAACAGAGAAAATTGGACATACAACCATCGAACAAACATAAAAGGGTAAATGCTTAACTAAAATCTAAAATGTAAAGCAGAAGAAAGGCTATCATTATTTGCTGATTCTGTTCAAACTGTAAGAATTAATGGACCTTCCTATGATGAGTAGCACAATCATAACTCCATTTTGCGTTACAATGGGTCAAAAAATGTCTGAATTCCGGAAAGCTCTTTTTATTGTTTCTTTCTCCCTTATTGTGCTTACTATGGTTATTTCAACTGAAATCTTGCAAAAAATATAATTTTTCAATACACAAAGCCAATTTTTATTTACCCATGATGGACAGAGGGCGTGGCAAAATTCAAATTGAGTTGTTTTTTTCTTCACAGAGTGCTATTTAGAAGGGAAGCATGCTGGATTAGCTAAGTTTTCATATTAACAATCTCTATTTTAGCGAAAAAGTTAAGATAATAATGTCACAATGAAGCGATGATTTCCTCATGCTACATAAGCGAGAGCTTATAAATGCACTTCTTGTTTCGTTTTTTAACTGCAAGATCACTGCAGATGTGTCTCGCAGTGGCTGCAAACACTGCTGCAACCCTCTTTTTGTCTAAAGTATAAGTCATATCATGTATGTTATCCCGTAAGTAGAAGTGTCCCTTTAAGATCTCCATTCCTTGGTAGTAATGACACTGATAATCATCCGTGAAGTTCTCACTCAGTTGTTCTACACCATCAGAAGTAACTTTCATTAAGTAGAAGTCATACATCGGGTCATCAATTGCTGCAATTGCAACAGTGCTATCTTTTCCAGCCAGGTCTGCTATGTGCAGTGCGGTGTCATGATCTAGAACTGGAATTTCTGATTCCTGCCTGGTCGTTGCTGCAGTGGCTTCTCTAAGTATAGAAACTTCTTTCCATTCATCAAGCCAATCTTTATTCAGGCAGTTGAGCTCATCATCCATGAGGCAATTAACACAACAAAAGAAAGCATTGCAGAAACTGCACATGTTGTTGGAGCTGTAGAACGAGTCTGGAGTAATTCAGTGCTCATAACCAAAGACCAGCTAGCAACACTGCCAGCAGATCATGGAAAAATTTGGGTGTTCCGGCAATGTCTAATAGGTGGAGTTCTCTTCCACAGCATGAGTTATAAGCATGTAATTGCAGGAAATGATTACACTATTGAATTCCAACATCTGGATAACAAGCTCTTTGGTTCGATCCACACTTATGCAAAAGTTGAAGAAAAATACCAGAAAGCACTGTCTGACGATAGAAAATGTTCTTGCTATTTGCCCTCCCATTACTTTGCTATCGTGGAAATTTTGGACCAAGCTGATGATCAGTTACCCAGATACAGAGACAGGACTGTCATTAACTACATCACTAGAGTGAAGAAATTGGGCAGGTACTGTTTGTGATACACTAACGAAAAACTTATATGCTTATCACTATGGACAAAATGACTTGTAAACCTTCTGTTAAACATGCTGTTATTAACAGTATCAGAAATACAATTCCAACAAGAATAATGTTTTGTCTTCTCAAATTCTTATTACACCCTTTGGGAGCATTACATCTACCTATCAATAACTATATCATTTATTTGTTCTTTTTTCAGACTTTTAGCTGTTCCTGTGCTGAATGTAATACAAAAGTATCTCAGAGTGGATGTTTCTTCTGGATCATATATTTGTCAGTTACCGAATCCATATGAAAAAAACTGAACAGATTAGAAATGCTACATATATTTAACTTTAGGTAGGTAAAAAACATTCATGTTAAAAAGAAACAAGTGAAGTCTAGGGTAAGCATTTTTATATGCTTTATGGGCCTTAAAGATATTTTTGTTATCATTATAAAATCAAGAGTGCATAAAGCGTGACTTATCGTGACTCTGAGTAGCACATTGATTTGCTAGTCATAATAGTGGAATTTCTACTTTCAGAAGAATTAGTTTTATAAGAATTTTTTTTGGCAACATTTTTGGTAGATCCGAGGAAGATATAAGTACCTGCCTAGCCTCAGATAAGTGAATTTCGCTTTTATATCCAGCACATAAAAAATACATAGATTATATATAGATGCTGTCCCCCTTTACTCATTTGTCACATAGTAAAAACATAACATATACGGTAACCATGCTAGGGGCATAGCACCAACATTTGCTGTTGTCAGCTGTTGTTGTTGTGCAGCAGAGACCTTGATGTCTTCACAGATGTGGGTATATGACTGAAGAACAGCTAGGAACTTCTGCACTGGCGAGTTAGTTTCCAATAGCTCTTCAAGACTGGCTTTGGTTGCATTTATCAGTGGAACCACTTGAGAGAATGCCACTGATCCTCCTTGAAATGCCTTTGAAAGATGAGACAGGACTGGCAGGACGTCTTTCAAAATAAAAAGCACTCCAAGGAACTTTCCCTCTTTCAGCCTGTTAAACAGACCATGAGCTGTAGCACATCCATCCTCACCCAGAGCTTTAAGTGTATGAAGGACAGCCTCATATTCTTGATGCAGGGCAGCTACAGACCTGTCAAAACTCAACCACCTTGTGGAACAAGCCTTCTTCATCCGTTTCACCAGTAGCTGCTTACTCTTCTCTCTTAGCTGTAAGCTGCATTTCTTGATGTCAATTTGTATCTTCAAAAGAACAGCGAGGTGTTTTGGTGAATTTTCAAAGTATGCCCAGAGTTGACGCAGTATGTCTTCCAATCGTTTGATTTAATCAATCTCCTTGTTAGTATCAGTGCAAGCTAAGGCCAGCTTATGACAAATACAGTGAACACTGATCAAGACTGGGTTGAGCTCTTTAAGCTTTGTTGCTACACCGTTCTTTTTTCCAGTCATCACTGAATCCCCATCTGTCACAAGAATTTAAGATTCGTTAGACTTAAACTGCACTGCTGCAACTCATCCTTGATAAGGGATGTTAGGGCATCAGCGTTGGCACTTGCAAATTCCTCTAGGACGTTGTGCACTGACAGAAATGCAATCTCCATGCAAGAAGTAACAGGGCTTACAAACTGTATGAATGTAAGCATTTGGGATTGCACAGAGATGTCAGTGACTTCATCCACAATGAGCCCATAACTTTGGACCTTTTGTGCACTGCGCACTATTTCTTCCTTGATGGTTTAAAATGGGGTTGACAGGCCTACACGACTCCCCTGCGTGTGTTTAAAATAGCCTCTTTATAGTTTGGCTCTCACGAGTATGTCTTTGAGCTACCGCCCTCTTTTATAAGATACGAGGGGCGGTTTTTTGTAGATTTTGCTCAGTAATGGTTGTTGTTCTATTAAACGCCAGTTTTTCATGAGAATTTGCTTTAGGTTAGGCACTGATGGTTGGTTTGAAGGGCTAGTTTCCTGTCTTTGAAGTTCACCTCTGAGAGGGTTGTGTTAATAAGATCCTCTGGGTAATCCCTCTGTAGCAGATGCGCTTTGAAATTTGTAATTTTCTCTTCGAATATTATTTTGGAACAGTTTGTTCTGAGGGGTTGGAGGGCTTCCCCTTTAATGAAGCCTTTTTTAACTCCTTGCTGGTGACAGGAACCAAAATGGGTATACTGAAATGTCTCAGTTGTTTTGAAATGAGTACACACATCAAGGATTGCGTCTCTTTCAAATCTTTCCCCTTTGTAAATGTAGGTGTCCAGGAATGTTGTTTCCGTATCGGAAATTTCAGCTGTAAATTTGATCGTACGGTGATGATTGTTTGCTTGTTCAATGAAATGTTCTATTCTGTCTCTGTTTGTAGTCCAGAGCAAGAAGATGTCGTCTATGTAACATTCCAAACGAGCGGTTTAAAAAGGCTTTGGCTAAGGATTTCCGTCTCTACCTTGTTCATGAATATATTAGAAAAGGTGACTGCCATTTTCGTGCCCATGGCCGTACCATGTGTTTGAAAGTAGTTTTTTCCATTAAACTGGAAAGAATTTTCTTGAAGAATTAGCCTGAGCACTCGTTTTAGTAGTTGTGTAGGGATAGGAGGTTCGTTTCTATCGAATATTTCGTCTGCTCTGTATACCTTGTCATTCCCTCCTCTTGCGGTATATCTGTATACAAGGTCGTAACGTCCATTGAAACAAGTATGATGTCCGCTGGGACTTTCGTGTTTTCTATGAAATTAACGAAGTCGGTAGTATCTTTAAGATACGACTGTTGTTGTGCTATCAGCTGAAGGAGTTTGTCGACAAATGATGATAATTTCTGCGTTGGGCCATCACACCCTGATAGGGCTACTGAGCGTTGTATTGGTGGTTCCCATGCAGATTTGACATGGTAAGGATGGGGTTCGTTTTCCCCTCGAAATATGTACATTAGACGCATTCTTCTTGCAAACTGATCAAAGTCACGCTAGAGTTGTTGCCTGATTTGTGTTTGTTTTGTAACGGGTGTTGGAATGAATTTAAGCCCTTTTGTCAGTAAATTAATCTGGTCATTTGTAAGTTCTTTGTTTGAGAGGTTTTTTCTGTTTTTTTGTTCGCCTCTATTCTGATAGTTGAACGTTTCTGGTGTCTGACCTTTCTGCGCTCTTTGCACTTATTAGTTGCTAGCCGTTTGGCTTTTAAAATTTGTTTTTTGGCCCCATGTTTGTGGTGGGAGTCAGATGATACACATGTGTACCTTTGAACTTCATTTTCGATTGCTCGATTTGTGCCTGGAGGTTAACAGCAATGTGTTTTACTGTTGCGATCGTCACATTGTTTTCAGCTAGCGCTGCACGCGCTGGTTCGATCGTACTACAGTTCTTAGTGTTCAGTGCTATAGCCGATGAGGCTCGCTTTCCTTTCTTGGTTTCGGCCTTAAAATGGCCAATTTATTGTTGATGGATAATCGCATTGAGTGTTTCTTGCTCCGCGTTCTTACGGATTTGTTTTGTCTCTCTCTTGAAGTCCTCGTCTGCTGTTATTTTGGCCCTCGCCCTATATTGTAGGGTTTCTGGACAAGTTCCCCTGTCTGTGTGCCTTTTTAAAGCTTTGATCGCACCTTCGGCTTGGCTAATCTTGTCCTCCGCGGATAGGCTACGGCTCCATTTACGGTTCCCTGTGGATGGGCTGTGGCGGTGACGTTTTCGGTACTGTTCTGTCCTTGGTTCGCTGGTACTCCTTTGAGGGCCCCTGTCGCGGCTTTGGCGTTGCTGTTTAGGCTGTTTAGGTTTTCTAGGCACTTGATACGGAGGGATTTGTTCATCGTCATCGGACTTGCCGAGTAGATCATCCTCGTTAATAATAATAATAACTTAATTTGTATAGCAGTATATACAAAAGCTCTATATTGCTTTACAATCAAGAAAAAAGAAAATAACTAACTAACAATAGTACTAAAACAAAAAGTCAATTGAAAGCAAGTCTAAAAAGATAAGTTTTCAATCTAGATTTAAAAACATCAACTGATCCACTTAATTTAATGTCTAAGGGAATATCATTCCAGTGCTTTGGGGCAGCGACCGAAAAGGCCCTGTCCCCATAGCTCTTCAGGCGCACATTCGGTACTTCTAATAAACGTTTGCTAGCTGACCTAAGATTTCTTGTAGGGTTATATGGGACTATAAGTTGACTTAAATACGGAGGCGCCAGATTATTGAGAGCTTTAAAAGTTAACAGTAAAACTTTAAAGGTAATTCGCTGCTCCACAGGTAACCAGTGTAGCTCCTTAAGGACGGGGCGAATGTGCGCAGCCCTAGGTTGCCCAGCTACAAGGCGTGCAGCGCAGTTTTGAACGCGCTGGAGCTTCTGAATAATATACTCCGGAGACCCNTGGGTGCCCCTGGTGACTGTGCTCACATGGTGGGTGGCTCCTCCTGAAGTGTTCTGCAATTGGTATAGGATTTAATGGAGCCAAAACCAATAGTGGAATTGCACGCATTTTAGGCATCCTACTGATGAACAGTTGCGACACGTAGATATATTTTTTAGCAACTAAGATAATTTGCAGTCTGTCTACTCTGAATTGAAACCGGCCATTTTACTTAAATTCACTCATTTTCAATTGTGCATTGAGAACAAACAGTTAAGATTACTTATAGTTCTTGGATTACCTCATATCCTCACCGTCATTTATGTTTTTAACAAACGTTTTTACTAAAAAGCTGATACTTTGTTTTCGTTGTCACTTTGCGGTAAGTGTGTAGCGGCAAATTTTAGCACTTTTGAAAGATTTAAAATAAAAAGGCCCCCAAAATGATGATTGTCTCAGTATGTATATAATAAACACAGTACCACATGGAAAGTGCCTTGTACGGTATTTACGCAATCGCTGTTTTTGTATCAGAAATCTTACTCATTCGCTGCACTCACTCGTTCGATTTCTGATACGTCAATAACTCGTGCATAAATACCGTACGCCAGCACTTTCCATGAAGTATTCTCTATATATGAAACCTTGGAATTTTGAGAGCCATCCAGGAAGAATTTACTTGGAAAGATTATATTTTAGCAAATGAACTACTTAAATAATTGTTTTTCAGTTGTAACACATTTGGAATTTACTTTGCCTGGAGCAGGAAGTACATGGAAAGGAAGAATGTACATGGAATGATTTGATTCAAGCAAATGGAAAAATTAACATCTTGTTTTTCAGATGGAGAATACTTAGCTAACTTTGTTAGTAGGAACAGAGGGTTTCAAATAAGGGTAAAGACATTGGAATTTGCTTTGCCTGGAGTTTAATATATTCGTAGTTTGCAACCACATGACAAGATGGCCATGTTTGGGTCAAACAAAGCCCTTCATTTCGCTAAATTTACACAAACGTTAAGAGTTTATTTCCCAGCAGCGGAAAACGCTTTTTTTTACACCCAACATGATCGCCTTTATGTCAGCTGTTAACCAGCAAAACATATGAAGACAAGTGACGTTTCATTGATTCTGGGCACACCTTTTCTCCTGAGCTTTTCTCGATCATATTACCGTTTGATGAGGTAGTAGCTTTCTGTTTTCCTGCAATGATAAATAAAATGCATTCAATCTTTGTAAGACAAATACATAGTTAATCTGTAATTTTCCTGTTAGTGCTTCAACGCAAAAATGGAACGGCAAGCCCTCGTTATTTCGTCAGGTGTGCTGTGTGGAGAAGTTTGATAACAAATAATTGAGTGGAAGTATTCTACTAGATACTCAGTAAATGCGAGGAGAGTGAAAAAAATAGCAAGGATCAGATGTGAATTTTTTTTCCAATAGAGCAGATTAGGAGAACAGGAGGTGATTTGTTGTAGTCGGGACAACCAAAACAAAGGAACATCAGCCAAATTATCGTTAGAGCGGAAACATACAAGTTGAAGTTATGGTGCGGGAGACTACAGCATAGATAGAGGTTTTCCTTTATCCTCGTCCTTTTTTTTTCGAATCCATTGAGCTGTACATGAACTGTCAAGAAAAAGACTACAGATCGGACGCTCACACAGATTTGTCAATTCAATGCAACTGGGCCTACAATCTTGGAAAGATTGCCCATCCAAATACCTTAAGGGCACCCCAAAGAACGTAAACAATTTTGGTAGCACCCTCGAACCTTGCATCAAGCTGGTTAATAGGTATTTAAAAACGATGTAATTCACAATATAAAAAAGAGGCTCTGAAACAGAAATGGCTATAACTTTCTACTGTTTGAATGAAATTGCATAGATTATGTGCCTCAACTGCTTGAACGATATAAAACGCTACCGGATTCTCACATGGTTATGAAAAAAAACTTCAACATCAAGTGTGGGCTTTTTGAGAAGAGGATTCAACAATGCAAGCTTAAAACAGTCTGGAAAAACAGCTAGACATAAAGACTGATTTACAATTTGAGTCAAGACAGGCAAAAGAACTGATGTGCACTGCTTCAAAACAGAAGCAGGGACGGGATCAAGAGGACAGGACTTGATGGTCATCTTACTAAGTAATTCTGAGACATCATTAGCGATGTCATATGAGACTTCCATCTTATCCTCATTCTCAAAGGCATTGCTTGTGCCAGGGGCATTTAGTAGCCCATCTGACGTTATAATGTTTTCCAACATTTTCAGGCAAGTCTGCGGTTTCGATCCTAATCTTGTGGATCTCGTCAGTTGCCGATTGAATAACCAGACTGATAGAGATGTGTTCTCAGTATCAGTCAGAAAAAGACTGTTTCTTTATAACACAAGTCTCCGGCAGTTGGATCAAAATCCTCACTTTTCATTGGAGAAAAAGGATATGTTTTGTTCTTCGTTCTGCATATGAATTAATATTTTTGCAACTGACCCCTGAGAGAACAACTTCTGGTATTGGCATTGCAGTTCACCAAATTGTGGGTGCATTCCATTCAACAAAAAACTGTGGTCTGAATTTGTGGAGAATCCCAATTCTAAGTTTTCATTCTCAAATTATAAATGATGTTATCTATGTTAGTATGCAAAGGATCTTTTGTGGTTTGTATTGCAACATTCTGGCCGGATATTGCTGGTTTTCATCAGACCATTGCCCCTGGTTTATTGTGATTGGGGTAATACAAAAAAACCAAACCTTTTAGTTATGGTTGCCAACTAAATAAGTGAATATTTTTCTACAAAAGAGGAAATAATGCTTTTTCAGTGATACCATATGTTTATGTAAGCTGCACCTAAAAGAAAAACCATAAAGCGTACTGGTAGTGACAACCCTAACTATATGTATAGTGTATATGGAGAACTTTAAGTGAAAAAAATACTTGAAATGACACAAAAGGCAACTAAAAAATTGCATCCAGTAAAGTCTTCTTTATATTTCTCAGATATGCCCTGGAAGGTCACCTATATATATATATTTATTATATACATACTGAGAAATACTCACCAAAAAGCTATGTCTTAAATTTTCGTACGCAAATAAGTTCTAGCCAATCAGAGGAGCGAACGATGGTTTTCACACGTGAAAAAATGATACGTCCAATCAGAATAGCGAACGATGTTTTTTTCACATGTGAGAAAAATGATACGTCCAATCAGAAGCCACACAGGTGTATGAGTTTCCCGCCAAAATTTCCCCCTTTTATTGCAGCTTGCAGCGCCGCTTCACTAAGAGGGTACACACATTCAACGAGAAAAGTTTTACTCAAAGAGTATTTCTCGCCAAAAAAGTGAAAAACATTTCGGAAATGGAGTACAATAGTTTCGTTTGTTTCACTGTCGATAAAGAAAACGGTAGAGAGCCGGCGAAACAACAGCTGAAAGGGATAAACAGAATGAAACGTTAGCTTTTGTTGTGCTTTTTGTCGGAGCTAATTTGCCTTTCATTTAAGCTTAAGCCAGGAAAAGGCTCCCGAAAATTCTAGGTGGCCTTTTTTAGGGTCAAAATCCGTTGAAAATGAGTAATTATACCATTTGTAGATGTTTGAAAATCCTAGGATAGGCAGGCAAGCAAGAAATTTTACAACAAATGCTCCGAAAATTCTAGATCTCAAATCATCTTCCGAACAGATATTTTCCCGAAAATTGCCGTTGGGTGCCCCTGGTGACTGTGCTCACATGGTGGGTGGCTCCTCCTGAAGTGTTCTGCAATTGGTATAGGATTTAATGGAGCCAAAACCAATAGTGGAATTGCACGCATTTTAGGCATCCTACTGATGAACAGTTGCGACACGTAGATATATTTTTTAGCAACTAAGATAATTTGCAGTCTGTCTACTCTGAATTGAAACCGGCCATTTTACTTAAATTCACTCATTTTCAATTGTGCATTGAGAACAAACAGTTAAGATTACTTATAGTTCTTGGATTACCTCATATCCTCACCGTCATTTATGTTTTTAACAAACGTTTTTACTAAAAAGCTGATACTTTGTTTTCGTTGTCACTTTGCGGTAAGTGTGTAGCGGCAAATTTTAGCACTTTTGAAAGATTTAAAATAAAAAGGCCCCCAAAATGATGATTGTCTCAGTATGTATATAATAAACACAGTACCACATGGAAAGTGCCTTGTACGGTATTTACGCAATCGCTGTTTTTGTATCAGAAATCTTACTCATTCGCTGCACTCACTCGTTCGATTTCTGATACGTCAATAACTCGTGCATAAATACCGTACGCCAGCACTTTCCATGAAGTATTCTCTATATATGAAACCTTGGAATTTTGAGAGCCATCCAGGAAGAATTTACTTGGAAAGATTATATTTTAGCAAATGAACTACTTAAATAATTGTTTTTCAGTTGTAACACATTTGGAATTTACTTTGCCTGGAGCAGGAAGTACATGGAAAGGAAGAATGTACATGGAATGATTTGATTCAAGCAAATGGAAAAATTAACATCTTGTTTTTCAGATGGAGAATACTTAGCTAACTTTGTTAGTAGGAACAGAGGGTTTCAAATAAGGGTAAAGACATTGGAATTTGCTTTGCCTGGAGTTTAATATATTCGTAGTTTGCAACCACATGACAAGATGGCCATGTTTGGGTCAAACAAAGCCCTTCATTTCGCTAAATTTACACAAACGTTAAGAGTTTATTTCCCAGCAGCGGAAAACGCTTTTTTTTACACCCAACATGATCGCCTTTATGTCAGCTGTTAACCAGCAAAACATATGAAGACAAGTGACGTTTCATTGATTCTGGGCACACCTTTTCTCCTGAGCTTTTCTCGATCATATTACCGTTTGATGAGGTAGTAGCTTTCTGTTTTCCTGCAATGATAAATAAAATGCATTCAATCTTTGTAAGACAAATACATAGTTAATCTGTAATTTTCCTGTTAGTGCTTCAACGCAAAAATGGAACGGCAAGCCCTCGTTATTTCGTCAGGTGTGCTGTGTGGAGAAGTTTGATAACAAATAATTGAGTGGAAGTATTCTACTAGATACTCAGTAAATGCGAGGAGAGTGAAAAAAATAGCAAGGATCAGATGTGAATTTTTTTTCCAATAGAGCAGATTAGGAGAACAGGAGGTGATTTGTTGTAGTCGGGACAACCAAAACAAAGGAACATCAGCCAAATTATCGTTAGAGCGGAAACATACAAGTTGAAGTTATGGTGCGGGAGACTACAGCATAGATAGAGGTTTTCCTTTATCCTCGTCCTTTTTTTTTCGAATCCATTGAGCTGTACATGAACTGTCAAGAAAAAGACTACAGATCGGACGCTCACACAGATTTGTCAATTCAATGCAACTGGGCCTACAATCTTGGAAAGATTGCCCATCCAAATACCTTAAGGGCACCCCAAAGAACGTAAACAATTTTGGTAGCACCCTCGAACCTTGCATCAAGCTGGTTAATAGGTATTTAAAAACGATGTAATTCACAATATAAAAAAGAGGCTCTGAAACAGAAATGGCTATAACTTTCTACTGTTTGAATGAAATTGCATAGATTATGTGCCTCAACTGCTTGAACGATATAAAACGCTACCGGATTCTCACATGGTTATGAATATATAATCTTTCAAATGTGGGCATCCACAGGGTGCCTGGACACCCTTCTGGATAAAGCTTGCCCTTGAGTCATAAAGCTACCAACATTTCTTTTCGTCCCTTATCGTAACAGGGCTCAGCCCAAATCATAAAAGGCCAGGAAAAAAAGGACATGATCAACAAGTGAAAAAGATTTTGACTGTTAAACAAATTTTACTTATTAGATCATAGAGGACAGTGTTGAGGAAGTGCATTTTGATGTTAGGGTTTACTCGGTCGGAACATGCAGGTTTCAGCCCAGGATTGGTTAAAGTGTCTAACTTACCAATAACTGGGCCAGTTCTCAAAGTTTTTCTCCTCTCAAGGAAAGAAGGTAAGAGATCTTCAAATCTCTATCAGTCAATGTTCACAAGTTTGGCCAATCAATATTTTCTTCTTAAATAGTAAATGACTACAATGAACAATCAACTAATATATACATCTGTTTGAAAATTGCGATGAACGATACAGAAACGATGTTTCAAAGTGTAACTTTTCCCAGGCAAAAGGAGCGCATAAATTAACAGTTATTGTGCATGCTCGCTAATGCATTTTTACACAACATTGAGTGCTAAATTTGACGCAATGCGTGAAAAAGAAAAAGAAAATAGTGATTAAATTTTGTAACATAAGCTGTAAGAAGTGCTTTCTCATCAGTCAAAATGACACTGAACGCATACAGCTTCTACTTTGGGAGCGTGCTTGTTCTCAGATTGATCGCAACCCCAAACACGTAAACTTACCTTTTACAGCGTGAACAATTTCATCAGGAGCACCATTCTTCAGAAGCCACTGACCCAATGCAACTGGACTTCGAGGTCGATTTACCTCAAAATCGGTGGGAATTAAAAAGTCACTCATTTTAGGAGATTGCTGGTACAGAAACTTGGACTCCAACACACCACCACAGCACTTGACCTGTGATCGAACAAGAATGAAACATACACCAAGTAGCCAATTTAGACACGTGGTCACATCCACCTTATATTAACGTTGATTCCTCCTAGACTGTTTTAGTCAGTAAATAATCAAATCCGAATTGAAATGTACTTTACCTTGCAAAAAAGGTTCAAGAAGCAGGGACAGACCGGGGGACAGGACAGCAGATGACATCACTTGAGTGAATAAAAGTTGACAACTGATACCTATAAAAATATCTCAATGCTTTATTTTCAAACCATGTGCAATCTAACTTGATCAGTTGAAAAAGATGGCACACCGCTGGAAGTGCTTGTTATGTTCTTTCCTGTGTTTTTTTTTTCTGTCCGAACTGCTGTGACAACCTAACTCTGTTCATCGCGGTCAATGTGGTCTACCAAACAGTGGATTGCAAACGGAATACACATCTCCAAACTCATTTGTGAAACGTGTGCGGTCAAAACACCGCGAGCTGTTGTAGAGGACCTTTCATTCCGTGTTTCATTCAAAGAATTCCAGTCATGAATGGCAAGGAGGGTAGCGACACTGAAAGCGTACATTCAGGTAAATGGTGAGTATTTCATCATCCACTTTTACGAATATACATTGAAATGAATAATTTTTATGTTGCGGCTTCTTGATTGAGAATTAACATGTGGGCGCTTCAAACCTGTCAAGTGTGAAATTCCCGGCATTTGG